GGACTGTCCTCTGCATTGTAACTCTGAAGGGGAACACAGGCACTGCAAAGGGTATAACTCCTGAGCATGGACAATAGACAAAAAAAAATCATGCAATTGCCTAAAGTTTCCCCTTCTGTAAGGATTTGCCTCCAATGGTCTCCGTCCCTCTCTTCCTTCCCTCCTTCCTTCTCCCTCTCTCTCCCTTCCTTCAATCTTTCCTTCCTTCCCTCCTGCTCTCTCCCTTTCTCCTTCCTCTTTCTCTTCCTTCCTTTCCTCCCCCTTCCCTCCCTCCCTTCCTCCCTTACTCTGAAGCAATAGCATTATTTACCGGCTACTCCCCCACCCCTGCCCCTGCCCTCACCCCCGCCCCCCTTTCTAGGAACATTGTGTTCTTTACTGCAGCTTGCAGTTATACCCTGGAGCAGAAAGCGTATTTCTTCCCATCCTCCCCTTTACAGGTGGCAGAAAAGGGCCAGGAGATTGCAATCACACCAGGCAAGACTGTCAAGCACGATATAGGACAAAACGGTCAAGTTAAGATCACCATCATTTGTTTACTAACCTAGCAGGGAATAAAATAGCCAGGGAAAATCTCACCTGTCTATCATAGAGCTGTTAGAGGTACAGAAAGTCTACCACTGCTATCAGTTGTGGTCAGAGGTCTGTTTGTCCTGCCCAGGCTGATTGATGGGAATAAATTTGAACATTTCATTGTTCCGTAATTTCGCAAGGACTCAATAGGACTTGGGGGGGGCAGTTTATTCTGCCAAGGTGGCCTGAGTTTCTCTAGGCTACGTGGTTCACCCGGGTGATACATTTGCATTTAAAACCCAAGAAGTGGTTTTTAAAGAAAGTCCAGGACCAAAAAAAAATAATCCTGCAACCTCCAAGCACACTTTATTTATTGTTTCATTCTCCTCCAATGCCTTTGTAAAACAGCAAGTAGTACATCAATACTGTGAATAAAATAGATGATCAATAAAATTTATCACACAAATTCCTCAGTTTTAATGAAACAGGAAGAAAAACCCAGTAGAACTGGACCTGCAAGGAAAGTTAGAGCACAGCAATCTGAGTAACCAATTCCAATAAAAAAGTGGAATAAATAGGAATCCACCACGATCAATCCACAACTGTGAAGAACAATATGAACTAACAGTGGGTTCGTAATTAGTATTTGTTAATAGTATTTGTTTTAAAAAATAGGGAATTTGGTTACATATAATTGGAATATAGTTCTCGTAGAAACATGGTCTTTGGGTTTTTTTGTCACTGCTATGCAAGTTGTTCATGTCACCAGAGTTAAGAAATGTGATGCAATCATAACTTGTACTGAACAGCTATGGGAAAGCAGCTCTTTGACTTTTTACTTTGGTCTCTGCTGAATGAAAAGAGAAAAAAATTCAGCAGCAGTCAGGCTGCAACTTGGATTATTGAAATGAGAAGAAACATGAACAGTCAGAGACTCTTCTTTGAGGCAAGGCAGACATTTTTAAAATCAGTATATCCAAGGTTGTTTTTTCCCATCTCATTTTTTTGTTCTGTTATCATATGGAGGATATATATCCATAAATGAAGGTATTGTCTAAAACTATATGTATAATAATTTGTAGGTTTTTGTTGTCCAATTGTCCAGAAAAAAATTGAGGATCCATGAATGTTTATTTTTGAATGTTTATTTTATTTATATGCCGCTCTTTTCCCCCCGAAGGGGACTCAGGGCGGCTCACAACTCTTCTCCCAGCCACCTGTTTCAACTTAATCCAAATATGAACAAATGGGAAACAGTTATGCCCATCTTTGCTGTGCTTTGAGGTAAATCGTCTGAATCACACTATAGCATACAGTACTCAAAGCTGCTGCCCGTTATAATTTTACTAGGGAAAAGTCAAGCCCCACCCTCTTTCCATATACAGATACTGCCTGGCTGGCCCATAGCCTTTATTTCAAGGTTCCCAGCTCTTTGATACCCATCACCTGAGGCAGCTGTTTCTTGCCCAGCAGTAGTGCAAATTCTCTGCCCAATTCCAGAAACATCCAGTTCACCGGATTGAAAGTTCTACCTCCTCAGTTTCATTATAGGTGTGAGGCCTGAAAACAGTCTGGGATTGGTTTTATATGTGCAAAGAACCCAGCTGGTCATAATCTAACAAAGGCAGAATATACTATAAAGACATAAAAATAGGACTCAAGTCCTTTCCAAGGAACTAATTTGAGAAAGCATCTCAGATAAGCCACTCCTCTAGATACACAAAGAGGGCACTTTTAGAGTTGCAAGATTCAGTTACAGAACAGTTAGCTGTTCCACTAGAAGTAGTTTTAGACCTATATGGCAATGGTTTATTAGTCTGGTCTATCTTACACGACTGATATTTATAGTATAGGGGCACATCAGGGGTGAAATCCAGCAGGTTCTGACAGGTTCTAGAGAACCGGTAGCGGAAATTTTGAGTAGTTCTGAGAACCAGCAAATATCACCCCTGGCTGGCCCCAGAGTGGGTGGGAATGGAGATTTTGCAGTATCCTTCCCCTGCCATGCCCACCAAGCCACGCCCACCAAGCCACACACAGAGAACCGGTAGTAGAAATTTGAATTTCGCCACTGGGGCAGATCTGATTACCTGGAGGTCAGAGACTGTCCCCCTGATCCCTTCAGATTATCTTCCTTTCCCTTCGACACACACACACACACTTGAGGCCACTTTTCTGGGCCTTGATTTGGCACCCGCAGTGTATGCATGGGTATGTTTTTGCTCACATGCTTCTTTTCAAGTAATACTTGATTTATGACTGTTTAACAACAATTTGAAGTTCAGAACAAATTACTTAAGACTTATCCTCAAAGGTCTGACCATTGTACCACCCTATGGTCATGTGATCACAATCTGGGTGCTTGCCAAACAGCCTGCCTTTATGATGGTTGCAGTGTCTTGCATTCACATGATCATGGCTTGTGACCTTCCCAGTCAGCTTCCAAGCAAGGTCTATTGGGGAAATTGAATTTGCTTAAGGACTCTGGTGTTTTGCTTAATGATCATGGTAAAATAGTGATAAAATCAGGTCCAGTCATGTGATGCTTTGCTTAATGATCCATTGCTTACCAATCGAATTTGATCTTATGGTTGTGGCTGCCATCTTGACGTTTTTGACCTTAAAATTGACACCTCTGGCAGTCTTTATATTTGAGACTCAAGTATGTGCATATGCTCAAAATTAAACTGTCAACCAAAAATTTTACACAATCATATTTACAATTATTTAAAATAATTGTAAACAACGATTTAATTGATTAAAATTGCCAATTCATGCACTAGTCATGTAGCCGTGCCGCTTTTTGCGGTTCAACCTCCATAATTCCTTGAAAAGTTATTTTGACTTAATAAAAATTGCGCACCCGTGGCTAGAACCCAACCCATAATTATTCAATCCAGAGGGAGGGAGAGAGGCAGATTAGGATTAATCTGGTTAAGAAATCCAGAATTTCACTTAATTATCTATCAAATGGAGGGGAGGGACCTTGAGTGTGACTAAAAGTCAAGAGTTTGGAATGTTGTGCTTGGGAAGGATATATAATGTATGTCCTTGTGTACCTCATTCTGTCTGCGGTTTGTTCCTTTTTTGCGCTCTTATATTTGATATGGTTGTAATGAAGAAATACATAACAAGCAACTTCCATGAGATTTTTTAAAAAGATAACTCCAGGGCAGGGTCAGGAACCATCTTTAACTGCCAGAGTAATAAAATACTCTTTTTATGAGTCAGTTCAGCATTGGGTGGCCGTGAAACTGAATCAAATAAATAAATAATGTGTGGGTTAAAGCAGGGGTGGATTCCTGCCAGTTCTAACCTCTTCTATAGAAGAGGTTCCACAAATCTACAGTGCTGTTTAGAACCAGTTCCAGATGCCTCCCCCCGCCCATCTGCACATCATCAAGATGAAGAGCAAGAGGAGGAATTCTGGGAGTTGAAGTCCACAAGTCTTAAAGCTGTCAAGTTTGAACACCCCTGGGTTTTTTTTCCTAAAGGGTTAGGGGTGCAAGGGTCTTGTAACTTGACAGCTTTAAGACTTGTGTGCTTCAAATGCCAGAGTTTCTGAGCCAACATTTTGGTTGCTAAGCAAGAGCATTGTTAAGTGAGTTTCATCACATTTTACAAGTTGGCCACGCCCACCCAGTCACATGGCCAGCAAGCCACTCCCACAAAGCAGGCCACACCTACAGAAGAAGTTCTAAAAAAATTTGAAACCCACCACTGGTTAAAGCCAAAACAGAACATGGCATTAGCCACATAAACACAACATGATTAAATTCTCTTTCCACCCATTCACAGACAGCAATGCACCCCATCAATGCTTGCCCATTGTCCTACATTTTATGCATTGTCTATCTTGCATCTCCCATTCATTTAGTCAGCACTCTCTATTTTCTTGTCCTCTTTTTCTCTCCTGATTAAGAAAGAAAGAAAGATCATTTCACAGATTTATTTCACAGCCAGTTGCTGCCCCAAAACTCATTAAAAAATGAGAAAACATCAGTGGCCATAAACTGGAGCTAAAGATGCACAGTTAGAACCCAAGTACTGTTTAAACTTAGGCACTGTAGTTTAGTAGCTTATAAATCCTCAGCTTTACCATAAGCAGAACATGTTGTTGAGCAATTGTCTCCTTGGTGTTTTCTCTTGGTTTTATCAATTGTTTCTATCCTCATCTACTAGCCAGTGAATTGAAACACTGCTGCTGCTTGCCACTGCAGCTCAAGAAACTTTTCTTTCATCCCAGCCCCTTGTATGGGCGGGGAGAGCCAGGGAGGGCGAGAGCAGGACAAGTTGCTAGATTGATCTGGAAAGGAACCAGTTTAATCCCAACGATCAGGAAAAGGCAGCTGCCAGCAAGCCAAGGCCAGTCTTCTCTGATCAGAGTGGAGAAGGAGGAGGAAGAAGAGTAGACCTCTCTCTTCTGGAGGAGACACATCACCCCTCCTTTCTCCCCCCCCCCCAGATGACCTCCACTGGAGAAGCCACCAACACAAGAGCATCACCACAAGGAAAAGGCATGAGGTTGGTCTCTTTTTACTATAGCCCTGCAGGTACAGAGAGCTCAGCGGGAGAAAGAGGGAAGATCTTTGGGAGGTGATCAAGGACGTGAAGATGCACGCAAGAAGGAAGAGAGAAGGATGCCAATGATTTTCCAGTAGACTATTAAATTGTACCACTGTTTCAAATTCTATGTAGCTGAACAGGATTTTTAGGCAAAGAGTGGGGGGGAGAGGGGGGGAGAGAGAGTATCACGACAGGTAGATTGATCAGATGGGGGTTTTTGCCTTGGATCCAGACTTTAAGGGAACCTCAGAGCCAACTTTGTAAGCTCATCTCTGACGGAATGAGCCCATTGTTCCCTCTCATGAAGAGAAATATTTTCTCTTTAGGAACTGTGTGCCATGATGCTGAAGTAGTGAACTGCCGGTAGCCACCCGCTCTCATTTCCAGAGCAAACCTTTCCTCGCTTCCAGGCAATTATGGTATGTAGCACATTTAAGAACAGAATGTCTCTTTATTCCCCCCTGCCGCCACGATTCCTGTATCACATTGTTTGTCTAGCCGCTCCTTTTGTGGTTTACCTTGTGCCTTGTATCTCCTGAGATTTAATTACTGGGTTTTAAAAAATCAGTGCTTTTTCACATGCCACGATGATGAACTGTCAACAGTCAGTGCAATGCTTTTTTTAAAAAAACATGGAAAAGTCATAGCAGGCTTGTTTTGATTTATTCTTAGAACAAGATATAGAGGACACTCAAAGTGGGTACATTAAAACTTCAATGACAGTAATAAGCATCTTTGGAGAGGCTGATCCACAAAGGAGAGTTGGGGGTGGGTAAACTTTCCTTTGCTTGCTGTCCCACTGCTCCTCATTTGTTTTGTCTTCTGCCGGGAATTCTCCCTTTTGGCTCGCGTGAAAATCAAAGATGCTGAGTTTGCGTATCTGGGGAAGAGGTTTTAAGTGCAGCATCAAGAGAGCTGAGGGCTAAGCGGTGATGAGCCCTCTCAACATTGTCTTCTTTTCTGGACTGGGGCCCAACTGGCAGAAAAAGGAGTTTTAAATGCCAAAATCCAGCCAATGGATGGGCAATGGAGAGAGAAACATGAGACAGGGAGCTAACAATACAGATTCATAATAAAAGTGGTGCACTGCAGAAGTACATTTTTGGCACTGCCCATTGACTAACTCTAGTGGATTAACTGTTTCTGGAAATAGGCAGTAGGATTGTCCCTTCTTTGCTAGCACTGGGCTTAAGTTAACTTTCAGCACAATGGCAAGTTATTTAACTTACGCTTTTAAAGTTTGGCAGGTGTTTTAGGGAAAACCCTCCTGTGATTTTCTTCCTGTTTAAAAAAATGGACTCAGAAGAAGAGGAATAAAATCCCCTTTTTCATTCATGGAAATTCTGCTGTAAGCTTCCACGGGTGTTAAAAGGTCATCATCAATACTATTTTACTATTGTGCTAGTATTCTACAATACTATAGCATTAATAGCTATCTAGTAAATAGTTAATACTATCAATCCTATAATACTATTCAATGCTATAAGAAGCTCTTGACTGAGATGGTTAACTTGAAGGGATATATATTTTAACTCAGAATTTGGGAACAGCTGTCTTTATCCTAGATATTAGTTGGGAAGAAGAGACAGACAGACAGACAGACAGACAGAGAGAGAGATGGACAGACGGACAGAGTACTGATACTATATGGAATTTGCCTGCCGAGAGTGATATGTTTCAGTCAGTTTTAAAAGTCTTGCCCTAATTCTGTGTCTATCCTGGTTTCTGGTGGAAAGTGTCTTTTGCCATTTCAGTTCACTAGAAAGCTTGTCTATTTTCTCTCTACATCAGGAGAGAGCCATGCTGATAAATATTAATTAATATTAATTAATTAATTGTTCTAAAATTTCCTGACAGTTACAACAATTAATCAGTAGAACAGCTTGCAGAATACCCCAATACTGGAAATCTTTAAGAAGATGTTGGATAGCCATTTGTCTGAAACGGTATAGGGTTTCCTGTCTAGGCAGGGGGTTGGACTAGAAGACCTCCAAGGTCCCTTCCAACTATGCTATAGTATTTTATTAAATACTTTAAAGCTCCAGCTTCAATACCGCACCACTATTTTCATAGGGATGTAAGACAATCCAGAACTTTCAAGTCATGATGCAACTATTTGTTCTCCACAATGTTCAAGCTGTGATCCTGCTGGGCCAAAGTGCTCACAAGTGTTTAATCAGCATGGACAATGATTGGAATGGAATGCCTGGCCTTTGCCAGAAGCCAATTTATATCTTTACAGGAATATGTAACTTCCTTAGGCAGAGTTTTGTAACGGGCAGCGATTAGGAACAGAGTACATAGCCTTGCATGCAACCTAGGCTGTCATTGTGACATATGAAAATTAGTCACTGGCTTGAGGGTGACTATGTTGATTCCTCACCCCATTCCCTGCCATATATTGTGAAAAAAATGGCAGGGAAATATCAATTTGCATCTGATGCACAACTGCATCTTCAACCTGGGTATCAGAGGTGGGTTCCTACCAGTTCGGACAGGTTCAGCCAAACCAGTAGTAACTTGGCAGCCTGGATTGCTGGAACCAGCAGCGACCCAGGCTTGCCACGTCCCCAAACAGGTTCTCCTATGGCGGCACCATCTTGATTTTTGGTTCTGCGCATGGGCAGAACAATTTTCATTGCAGAAATTTCATTTTTTTCATTTTTTTAATGTTTTGCACATGCGCAGACTTATTTATGTGCAAATGTGTACACACACAATTTTTTGCGCATCCCACCCTTTTGGGTATGAACAGCCTGCCTCAATTTTCATTTCAGTTGTTCTACTGATATGACTTTAGTAGGAAAAGAAATCGAATGGTAGTGATATATTTGACCATTACATACCTGGAATGCTCAGTTAGCAAAAATCTTGTGACAATGCCCTATATTTCATGTTTATAACTGGCACTCCACTGATTTAGCATTTTATCAATGTCAGAGGAGAAAGAGAGAGATGTCAGTATATTTTTAGCTGGACGGTGCATCCCTAATGAACTAGTTTCAGACTTATTACACGTTTTTCAAAACAGCTTTTCAGATAGGGAACTTCACAAAACAGTTTATAGTAATAATAGAACACAAATTGCTACAGCCAGTCCAGAGATTAAATCAAAAGTTTAGACTAAAGAATGATAAGTACTTTTAAGTCTATGTAAAGAAATAACAAAGCTGGCAAGTTTTTATTTCTGATCCTTGTTTCTTTACGAGACAACCATAAAAAGATTTTCAGATTATATGAACCAACAATGCCTATTTTCTCATTTAATACCTATAATCCCAGATCTGCACTGATAATATGTTTAACAAATAACTGAGTGAAATTTTCTATAAACGGTAAGGAAGGACCATCATACAGCAAGGACAGCTGGTTTTTCACTTTTCTGAGTGAATGTATTGTTTCTTATGAGCAGATGCTATGTCTTTTCTCTGACGTCATTATTTTGGAATTTTTTTATTCATTGACAATGGAATTTCTTTCTTGGCCTGCCGCATTAGGTTTTTATTAATTATTTGTTTCATCACTTATTGATATACTTACTATAGGACTTTGCATAAAGAATGACCAAACATCCATGAGGCTCAAAGAGCTAAAGTTTAATAATAAAGGAGAGAAAAACAAACAGAGAAAACAGCATTAATGTTAAATGTCCACCAAAATCCATATTTTAAGTCCAGATATTTATGTTATAGTAGACAAGCTAATGTTTAAAATAATATTTCAATATTTTGCATAATTTTATACATTTTGAAAAATTACATGTGATGCCTGCCAACATCGTAATAATATATGGAAGATGTTTCTGGTTGCAATGTTACCTGGAAACCTAGTTGCATTGAATTCATTAGGATTTATCTTCAAGGAAGCAGGTATGGTGTGCATCTGTACTCCATTCAATTACAGATACCAAGACACAATGTCACATTCAGAATGCCAAGTCTTTTTTTCTGATATCGGGACTTTCATATATGAATGGTAAAATCAGAAACAAAAAAAAATCACAGTACTATTGAATATTCCTTTTCAGCTTTCAACTATGAAGGTTGAAAATCAGTCAGAAGGCAAGAAGATGGAGCAGCCTAGACTGGAGGCAAAGCAACAAAATGTGAAGGTGGAAACTGAGATGGAAGAAGAGAATGAAGAAAGCGAAGGCCTCATTGAATTCTTCAGTTCCTACCAGGACCTTTTCCAATTTTTTTGCAACAATACAACCATCCATGGTGCCATCCGGCTGGTTTGTTCTAAGAAGAATAAGATGAAGACTGCCTTTTGGGCAGTTCTTTTTTTCCTGGCTTTTGGGCTCTTGTATTGGCAGTTTGGAATCATTTATAAAGACTATTTCAGCTTTCCAGTCAACTTGAATTTGAACCTGAACTCTGATAGGCTTACCTTTCCTGCTGTCACACTATGTACTCTCAATCCATATAGGTAAGACTGGTGGTCTTTCAGGTCTGTGTGTTGTGCTCTCTTGGCCTTGGTATTTGGGGAACTGTGATCCATCAGGGCATTTGATTTATAAAACAAAAGAAGCTATTGACTGTTAAAGTGCAGAGTTACCCTTCCCCTCAAAGCCTCAGTACAGGGCCCAGAACTCCCTTCAGTAAGGGGGGTAATAGCAATCAACTGCACCTGAGCCATGCTCACACAAGCACACATTCTTTCTCTGGCCTCCTTCAATTTGTACCACACTGTGTGACACTCACCCCAATCTTGCCCATGAACTGCTCTAAGTCTCCACCACCTCCCTATGCCCTCCTTACCTAGCACTCCATCCTGCTTAAAAACTGTTTGTCTGGAATTACATCAACAACTGGATAGCTGCGATTGCCATCGCTAAGAGATGCGGTCATGTGATGTCACATTTTATGACTGCATCACTTAACAATATCGTAAATTGATGGGCTACCTGTGGCTGTAGAATTGGTAGATTTTAGCAATGTAGAATTAAAGGATTACTTATCAGGGTTCCTATAACAATTTTTACATTATTTTCCCAAGGCAGTGTTACTTGCTACAAATTTTTTCTGACAAATCATTAGCGCCCAAGCAAAAGTTCAGGATTTTCAGGAGAAATTTAAATCTTAAATGAAATTGCCCTTAATATTTGTGCTCATGCCCTTAATATTTCTGCTTATGTTCAGTTTATAGAGATTGAATTCCTGAATTCTTCTTCAAGGGTGCAACTTATATAAAGAGACATGTCTGCTATTATAGCAATAGCAGTAGACTTATATACCGCTTCATAGGCCTTTCAGGCCTCTCTAAGCGGTTTACAGAGAGTCAGCATATTGCCCCCAACAATCTGGGTCCTCATTTTACCCACCTCGGAAGGATGGAAGGCTGAGTCAACCCTGAGCCGGTGAGATTTGAACCGCTGACCTGCTGATCTAGCAGTAGCCTGCAGTGCTGCATTTAACCACTGCGCCACCTTGGCTATTGCAAAGTATCTTCCCAGTAGTATGGCATAACCACACCTTAATAATCTTGTTTATATTTATATTCCCTGATATTCCCTTCATTTCATTCCCAGTTTATGAATGAGACAGGCAGCAGCTTAAATTGTCTTTAGTTGCACTGGTGACAGTAATTTTCTCTGCATCCTTCCTCAAGGTGTGTAAAATCTGTTAGGCTTTGACACAAGTCATGTGATTTAGAGTGACTGGGACATAGATATCACTGAGACAGATAAGGGTCAGCAAAAAGGATGTCATGATATCTTATTTTCTTCCAACACAAGAATGAATGAATGCCATTATTGTAGGGGAGACATGCTCTGAGAGTCAAGAATTCAGGAACTAATTTTAATTAAATGGTGCTTGGGCTAGAAAGCATAACAAAATGATGAAGTTATTAGGATTTAATTTAAAATTTAATTTAATTGAAAGAATGGTAAGAAAGAGAAAGATTAAGTCACTGGGTTGTTTTAAACACTATTCATAATGGTCACTGACTTTTAACAAAATACTATAATGGTTTATGAGAATGGATAAAAACAGAGAGTAATCTCAAAAATAGATGCACTTTCTTCAGTGTTCAGTACTGTAAAATAAATTATAATTGTTATAATAGGGATTAATTTAAGCATAAAATGATTTATTAAAAATGACTAAAGATAAATTGATAGGAATGCAACAACCAAGCCAAGGATTGGAAGAGTGGGGTGGGTGATCAAGTCTAAGATGAATGGACATACATTGCTATTGTATTGTTGTGTTTTGATGACCCCAATTGCTTTTCCACTGGCCCTGCCCATTTCTGGGAGTGTAACCCTTAACGTGATCCTCGACCTGAAATACTGTACTTAGATCTTCCCTGTTCTAGAAATGATACCTTCAGTCCAAGAATCTTGGTAAGGCTCCTAGCACAGCTGGATTCATCTTCTGTCTACTTCTGATATACTGTATTGTTAAAAGGAAGTTAACTTCAGTCTTCCTGAGCTTGTGCCTTGGGATATGTTGAATTTTGGCGATATTGACAGAGATTTCTGGAGTTTATAGTCTCACACATCTAAATGTCAGCAACTGATTAGCAATTGGACAGTGTATCCCTGAAGCCAATTCTTCCATCTTTTAGGTATAGTGCTTTTCGGAAAGAGATGGAAGAATTGGATCAAATGACCCGACAGACTCTTCTGGAGATGTACAAATGCAACATGTCTTTGGAGCATAAATCCTCTCAGAAACGCATCTCTAGGAGCCTATACAATCATATCCAACGCTACCCATTGCATCGACGCAAACGTGATATACGAGCCATGGAGGACAACAACGCTCACGTGGGCAAAAGTGATTCAAGCATTGGTTTCACCCTGGTAAGCATGATTTTAGATTCTTCTTGAACAACTGTGCCAAGACCCCTCAATCTCCTTCATGATCAAATACCTGGATCTGAAAAGTGTCCATAAATCTAAATCATGAATATGTTATCCTCCCAGTATCTATTATATTTGTGTGTGTGTGAGAGAGAGAGAGGAGTGGGGGAGAACAGAACAAAGGTATGTTTACCCTAACGAAGTTTTAAGGGGGACATGATATCAGTCATCCAATACTTGAGGGGCAGAGAAGAGGAGGTCAACTTAATCTTCAAAGCACTTGAGGACAAGGCAAGAAGTACGAGTGGAGGATTATTAGAGATCCAACCTAGAATTAAGGAGAAATTTCCAGACCTATGAGAACAATTAATCAATGGAATGGCTTGCCTCCCAATGTTGTTGGTGCTCCAACACTGAAGGTTTTCCATAAGAGATTGGGCAACCATTTGTCTGGAATGGTATAGCGTCTCTTGCTCAAGTAGAGAGATAGACCAGAAGACCTCCCAGGTCCCTTCCAACTTTTTTATTCTATGATTTCTATTACTTCTATGCAGTGCACTTAAAAGATTGTAAGTAGAGGAAGCCAGGCAAATTTCACAGAAATGAATGTCATGGTTTTGAAATACACATCTTTAAAATCAATTTATTCAAGTAACCTTGGTGTTTTCTCTTTTCTCCAAGGACATTAATCAGAAAGCTATATTGCTGTTTAAATGAATAACAGTGTGTTTCATAACAGTTATAGCATGAGGTTCCATAACAATTATAGCATAAGGTTTCAAATCAATTCCTTTAAATTCACCACAACAATGGGAAATTATCTGTAACAAATTTCACTAATGGACTAATAGCTTGATGGGTATTTGCACAATGGAAAGAGATGATAGCAAGGAATACGTCTGCCCCTTCTTAAATTCACTGTTAAATTCACTGTTAAGGGGACATGGAAAATACAACATCAACTCCTCATGATTTTTAAGACAAGATAGCTAATACAGCCACAAACATTTTGCTTTGGTGAAAGGGGAGGGAGGGGAAGAGATGGGAAGACCAGCACATAATTAACTAAACAATTATCGCAGGATAGTTCATTTATTTACAAGTACTTTTATGCCACTCACAGAATTACAAAATATATATTAATAATGTTGCCTCAACTAAATCCAGATTAAAACATCATCTTCATTATACTGTAGTGTCATATACACCCCAGATATCTACTTATCACATCCTCATCCCATGAAAGAACACTTAAACTGACAGGTTTTCTAAATTCTAATAATGAGGATGCTTCTTTATTTTTAAGGAGTGACTGCTCAAGATATTTGTGTAGAGAATGTTGGGCTCCAAGCCCACTCCTGCCTCATCCTGCAAGGGGTAGAAGCTCTTAGCGAATATGCTCTGTTGGAGAGGCAGTTTTTTCCCAGAGCATTAATATTAGGGATTAGTATTGTGAAATGAATCTGAAAACAAACTGGCAGCCAATGCAGTCTAGCAACCATGCAGAAGTGGTGTTCCTGGTGCTCCCGGAGCTTCATGGTTTGCTTGTAGATATTCCATGGCCCAACTAGGGAAAATCATCATATATGCAGCTGTATCAAGGCACAGCCTTCAAGATGAGAGCTGCTACATCCCTGTACCAGCTGTAGTTCTTAATGGTCTTTGGGGAAGTCCCATATAGAAAAAGTTATGGTATCTGTTCCATTCCCAGAGGACAGTCATTGAATTAAATAAAGCAGTCTTATTACACAAGTGATTAAGCTATTCAAGGGCAGTTCTATTGATTACTGACTTCAGTATATAGCATCATCACCATCATTCTTATATTGCTGAAATGTAAGCAAATACAACACCAACAATACAGGATATAATTTTTAAAAGACTGTGTTGTTATTTAAAAAATTAGAAGGAAGAAAAATATGTATTTAAAAAAGATCCACATCATATTCTTTTACATCACTATGGGATTGATTCACTCCTTAAGCTTGTCATTAAATCTAGACTAAATAGAAAAACATTCTTCATCTTCTGATTTTTGAGGACATAAAGAGTTTTCAGAAGATTTGCTGAATTCATTACATTAATATTGAGGGTTTTGTTGATTTGTGGATAAAAACATCATACAGAATCACTGTACATCTGATTCTATAAATGGAGAAGAGGTTTTCATAGGACCATATAGTGTCCCTTGTCCACTGATTCCTCTATAATTGGGAATGTTTTCTCTTCTTGCTGAGTTCATTCTTGTTCCAGAATGGATTTAATGTGATTGGTTTCTTTTTCAGTGTAATGAAAACAAGACAGATTGTTTCCAGCAAATGTTTTCTTCCGGTGTGGATGCTATACGGGAGTGGTACAGTTTTCATTACATCAACATTTTGGCAAAGTTCCCTGACACCAAGGCCCTGGAGGAATCCAACTTCACAAGCTTCATCTATGCCTGCCAATTCAACGAAGTGTCATGTAACAAAGCGTGAGTTCCAATATGATTGCTCCATAGATCAACTTAAGTCCCTACCACTCCAGTCTTAGTTCTCACCATTTCCTTTTACTGAAACTATCAACAACCCATGTTTTTTAATCAATAATTATAATTAAAATGATTGAATCAATAATTATGATTATAATGATTATTGATATTGACTGATTCACACTACCATTTTAATTCATTTCAAAAAAGCAAAGTGGTACCGTAGGTCTGGGCCATGAGCTTAATGAAAGGAAGTCCTGACATGACCCATGTAGCCAAGAGGTAGTTGGATTATAGTCAGCAATATAGTCTACAGTAAAGTTAAGAGATCTGGTACTTCATCTATAAAACTAAGTTTCTAAAGGGAAACTCTAAATTTCCCAAGAAGGGACAGTTTTCATGATACCCAAAAACACATCTAATAGCTTTTCTTATGAGCAGGAATGGAAAACTGATCAGTAGATGTGAACACCTTCTTGGCCTCCTTCTTTGTCTGATCCTCAGAGGAATGTGACAAATCATGCCTTGAGCTATTTATGGTTAGATTATTACTACTATTGATGGGAGTAGCCAGCAGGTGTAGTCTATATCAACACATCACTCATTTATCACAAAGCCTGAATTTCATTGGCTTTAGTGGTGAGTACAGTGAATCTTTAAACAGGCTTAGACTCCTTAATAGCTTTCTAGTCTTATGGGGAAGATTGTATGTAGTGTTTCAAAATACATAGTTCATTTCAGGCCTTCCACTGAACACATAAACTGAGTTTGGGCTTGGAGGTGTAATTTTACTTCTAATTAATATCTCAAATCATCATACATATAGCAGGATCATATGGTAAAGCTAGATGATCCTCCGAATAACTTACTCTTCTGAATAAGAAAATGGAATTGAATATCACTCAGAGTTTGCTTTGGAATGGTTTATAAGCCTTGCAAAATAAATAAAAACTTTACTTATAATATGCTCCTTATTGAGCTAAGGATCCATCAGAAATGTTTTAAGAGTGTGTGTGTGTGTGTGTGTATTTGTTTTCATAGATTTTCACGGGTGTAGGTACATACATACATACATACATACATACATACATACATACATACATACAGTGTTTCCCTCAACTTGCTGCCATCTCTGCTCATACCTGAATAGTTTTCGACATGCCTGAAGATAGTTATGGGAGATTTTTCCTATGGTGCCAGAGCCTAAGCTAAGAAGACTTGCACTTGTAGGTTGAAATGTGTCCACAATTTGTTAGCCCTTTTAACAAGTTAGGTTTCAATCACCAGTCCTGTTAAGCATCTTATGTATTTTGTACTAGTCTCATATCTACTTCCCTGACAGCACAGGGAGCTCCAATGGACTTACTTCACTGAACATAAAAAAATATAAAAATAGTTTCCAAGACATGCTGACATGTACCAATTGAAGTTGTGTAGCCAATAAATTATTGGAGCATAAATTTATTTAGGTCCTCATGCAATTACCCAATAGATCAGATTATGTAATAATATCATATACCCATAGCAGAGTAGAAGTGCTATATTTGTGACGTCCCTTTGAATAAAGTGAAAATTTTACTTAATTTCAAAGTTTATTTTGAAGAACTACAAGAAGAAGGGTGGGACTGATTTTGGGAGGGAAGGATAAGACATTTTCTCATAATATTTGCCCCATTTTCACTGTACTACCCATGTTTATGTTTTTTTTTTATGTTTAAGTTTATTTATAGGCCGCCCTTTTCCCTGAGGGGACTCAGGGCGGCTTACAACTTATGTAGGAAGGGGAAACATACAATGACATATAGGACAATACATAATTAAAAGAATAGAGCAACATTCATCATTCGGGCAGGGATGGATTATAATCTTTAACCCCAGGCCTGACGGGATAGCCAGGTCTTGAGGGCTGTGCGGAAGG